CCATTTATGAAGGATGTTGCCATGTACCACTGTGATGTATTTTCCCCATTTAAGAACTGTACGGAAGCCATGGACACCACCCCCAGAGCAGGGCACATCGTTACAAAACTTGGCCAATGATGGCAAGTTGGCAGACTCCTTGACTTCAGGGATCCATGAACTTCAGATGGGGAGTCCTGCCCTGGAGTAGTGGTCTCAAAACTATTTAAGTAATTAGCCCTTTCAAACACAGAAGCATGTGTCCCAAACCTATGGATACTTATCTATAATAAAAGTGTAATATGCTAATTAGACCGGACAGTCGAACGACCTTCCAGACGAAGTCGGGGCTGCGAGGGCCGAGCCCCTTGCATGAATTTCGTGCATGGGCCTCTAGTAAATTATATATATGGACTGCTCTCCTAATGTAGTACGTGCTTAATAAAACACTCAAAAATTAAAATCTGTCAAGGACAAGATGAAAACAAATATTAAAAGGTCAAATATCCCCCCCCCCCAATGAATGCTCGCACACATGCCCTAGATGCACGCACCCCACTTTGAAGCCTTTCCCCAGGGTCTGGGTCCGGACAAGATGAAACAAATATTAAAAGGTCAAATATCCCCCCCCCCAATGAATGCTCGCACACATGCCCTAGATGCACGCACCCCACTTTGAAGCCTTTCCCCAGGGTCTGGGTCCAGTGGCATCTCGCCAGACTTCTCACCGGGTCAGGTTCATGAATGGTTAAACGAAGAAATGGGAAAGAGGAAAATGGAGAGAGATGGAAAAGCGGCAAGTCCTATAGTAGGAAGAAAAATGCTAACCCCCCTAGATAAAAATAACTCCCAGCATTGTGAGGCTAGGAAGCTGCACCTGTCCCACCTCTAATAAAAGATGAACAACCCTAGTGACGAGTTCTCAGCAGAAGAGGCCCCTGCAAAAGCTTTGACTATTCCACATAAAAGAACCAGATTTCCGATAAAGAATCACTCTGCCCTATATAAGCCATGGTCACACTGCACGTTATAAACCAAGCTGTGATGTTCTGTCACAGAAGGGCAGCGTGAGACCTGAGTGGGGAAGAGGTTTGGAAAGTTGCATGTTCTAGAAGCAGAAGGCCTCTCCATTCAAATCCCTCTCTCTTCCTCAGCTCGAGAAGTCAGTTAGCCTGCCTGGTTCTTAGAGCCCTCAACCCTTAAATGGGAGTAATAACATGTGCATATTACATGGCCTAGTCATAGATTAAAACTCAAACATGACATTGATAGAGGTGAAGGTGCTCTGCAAATTATAAAACGCTTTGTAAATGATAGGAAATAAACACCTTTGTCCTCCGGCCATAAAAACAAAAGCCAAATAATTCACAAAGCAACTTATTAGTACATGTGCCCCTCCAGAAAAATCAGTGTGTAGCTTCCAGTTTTAAAGTCCACCCCAGGCCCTTCGAGGGGTCCAGACTGACAGCCCACTGCTCCAGTTCCCAACTCCTCAGCCATTCCCGGCTAACCCTGCTGTAAGTGACCGATGTACATGCCCCACCTGGGGACCTGGCAGAGGCCATTCAAGTGTACGTTGTCTAGGCGACACATCTGCATCCGGAAGTGAAGGCAGCAGGGTGAGGGAGCGATGGCCGTCCTGTGGGGGCCTGGAGGTTATGGCCTCACGGGGCCTGGTGTGGCCTGCACCTGATCCCATGGAGAAGCCTTCAGGCCTTCTGTTCACTAGAAATGCCCCCAGAAGGGCTGAGCAAGCATCTCAGTAGCCCATCAAAGCAGTGTCACCGGAGAAGCCCCGAGAGCTTTGGGACCCTACATCCCAGTCTGGTTCCCCTTGTGTCTGGGAAACCCAGGCCAGAGATGTCCTTCCCGGGTTAAGTCATTGAAGATGACTTACACAAACGTTTTTAAAGCTTCAAAATTTATTGCTGTACATTTTCGCATAGCATTTACTATGGAAATACTAATAGTGCAAATATTTATTTTGGACTTTGTAGCATTTGAGAGGTCACAAAGCTTTTTAATCTTTTGTAATCATTTATGAAGATCTATATTAGTCAACTTATTTTTAGAATTCAAAACAAGTAATGTTATATTCAAAGAGAGTACATAATGCTTTTTAGGTCTCCTCTCGAGAACAAACGAAGCCACCACGGGCACTCCTTTCCTTGAGGGCACGCACATCTTGCAACATTTTTCCAACTGCAAGACTCTTTGTTCAATCACAAACCCAATCAACAAGTATTTACTGACGAACTGTTATGTGCCAGGCACTGTGCTAGGCTCTGGGGACATTAGGATGAAAAGATGCAATCTCTGCTGTCACGGTGCTTACAATCTCAAAGTAGAAGCAGACATGCAAAAAAATGTATAATACAATACAGTAAAGTGCTTCCCTGGAGGTATTTACAAAGTGCAGTGGGAACTTGGAAGAGGGAAAAAGATCATCTGCCCGGAGAAATCAGGGACAGCTTCACAGAGGAGGTAGCCACTGAGCTGAGACGGGACCAATGGTCGGGAATTTGCCATGTAGACAGGCGGGCAGACAGAATGACAGGTGCCAAGACACAGAGGCCCAAGGGGCACTTGGAAGGAGCAGGTCATGCAGTTTTTCTTGAGCCGAAGGTGTGATGGGGAGAGTGCAGGAGGAGCGAGGCAAGTGGGCAGGGGTCAGATCATGAAGAGCCTGTTGATCAGTCTTCCATTTATTCAACAAAGGCCATCGAGTGAGTGCTTACTGTGTGCCAGGCTAGGCTACGCGCTGGGGTTAGAACAGGGACAAGACAGGCACAGCCTTGCTCTTGTGGAGCTTACATTCTAGCAGAGAGATAGGTAAGAAGCCAACAAATAAACCAAACCCAGATTTAGACAATTTCATCGAAGGAAATAAACGGAGTGCTGAGGCAGAAAATAAGTATTGCGAGGGCTGGGGTGTTGAGAGGATAAGGGTTGTCTTGGAAGTGACAAAAATGACACCTGAGGGACCACACTAATGTGTTCGCATGGCAGTACTCACTGTGCACCAGGCACTGTGCCCAACACCCACTAAACAGGATCCCATGCAGCCCTCACCATGACTCTGAGGTAGGTATTATTATTCCTGTGTCACCGACGAGGAACACGCTCAAGATTAAGTAACCTGACAAGTCACACACATGGCAAACCAGGGTTCAAACACAGGTTCTCTCACTTCGAAGTGCTCACTCTGAAAAATTATTCTAAACTATATATACAGCTAAGTGAGGGATTTTGAGATGGGAAATGATATTGTCACATTTGCTTTAAGGACCATTTCTGATGGCTCTAAGGAGGAGAAAAAGGAAGGGTGGGGAGGGAAGGGGGACAGGTAAAAAATAAAAATAAAAAAGTTTTTTAAAGGAATGCACTGAAAGCCCAGAGGAGAGGCAAGGTTGCATGAAGGCAGTGGCCACAGGGATGGAGACGAGATGCAAACGTGAGAAGTGCGGTTGGTTATCAGTTCTAACAGGATGATGGGATGCTGGAGGCAAGGGGGGAGTGGCGCCTGGATCCTTTCTGGCTCTGCCTTGGCAACTGGACCAGATGATCTGCCTTAGCGTGGGTTAGGGAATGCAAGACGGTGACAGTTGTGAGGATGAGACAAGGAGTTTGATTTTGGTTGTGTCATCCTGTGGGGATCCTGGGAACACCTGAACTTATGATCTGGTCCCCAGTTGGACACCATGCAATGGCTTTCACACCTGCTCTCCACCTGAGCAAAGTCTAGAAGAACGAAAAAGTTTTGTACATGTGCACATTGCGGTGTTGCTTTTACAAAAGCTGTTTATGAAAACACATATACCTTGGTTGGATTGCTTTGTAAAAAGAACGTACGTTCACCAAGATCAAAGTACCCAAACCTGATCGCAATTAAGAACCATGGACTTGGGAGAGGCTAAGAAAAGCCTTTGGGCGTCATTCTAACTAGTCCGACCAGTTCTCTGACACCCCATGGGGAGTGTCGGCCAGGGCAGCCCCTCTGCCAAGTCTCCCAGCGTTTGCATGTGTCCCTGCTCATCCACCAGCAGGGCTGCTCCAGGACCTTGGTGCCGGCGGCCCAGAGATCAACGCTGAATATAAATCAGGAATTCCAAGAAAAGCTTCTTATGGAATTTGGCATAAGGTCCAGAGAGACAGCAGCCCAAGCCTAGCCAGTACGTGTTATTGACTTTTTCTCTTCCTTCCCTTCCTCGGGAACGGAAGGGTACTGCAGGTCGTGGCAACAGCTGCACAAGTGACACTTAATGGAAGTGGTCACATCCTTGACCACATCATTTCTGGGTCTAATTTCAAAAGAACTCAGAGTTAAGGAGTACATAAACCCGTCCAAAGAAAGACATTATTTTTGCTCTACTTCTCCAAATGTGCTTAAGTTTGCTTATAACCACAGCCTCCTTTCTCTAGCATCAGACTAACTTGTTTTGATTTGTAAAATTCAATAACAAATGCCGATTTTAGTAATTAAATATATCAAGGAATTTAAGTGGCAATGAAGTTACACTTATGAGTCTGAACAGGGAAAAAAAAAACTGTTAGTACTCGGGAGGCCGGGTATTGACTAGTAGAGTATGGCAATCTGGCCCATGAAGCAACCCTGCCTAGAAGCAAAGCTGCCTCTCTCGGCCGAGGGTCTGACCTGCACCGTTCACTTAGTCAGCTGGTGGACACTGGAACATGCAAAACGATCTAGAAAGAACACCACACGTGGGCTTCCAGTCACACCGAAGGGCACTGTGTACGGATTCCTTTTCCAGGGAAGAAAACGACTTATTTTCACAGAACAAACAAAAGCACTCATCAGAGGCAAGGGGGAAAAGGACACACGCTGGATGAAGCTTGAGAATTCTGGTGAACACACAGTCCTCACGATGCCTGTTGCAAATGTGTTACTGCCTCCCTCCCAGCTCCATTTCACACCTAAGGCCCGGGGATCACAGCTGAATGGAAGCCGGGAAGGCCCAGGACAGGTGGGTGTGTTCGGTAACAGAAAGAATCCCAATCGGTCTGTGAATATAATCATTTATTTGTCTTTACAGTGATGATGGAAGAATGTACAGATGTCCTCTTTCAATAAAGTATAAAAATCTGCTTATATACAGTGAAGTCACAATAATCTTTCATTGGGAAATTTATTTGGTACTCATTCGTATTCAAACTGGGGGCAGACAGATAGTTCTCGTAAGTGCTACATTTCCAGTAGATTGCACCTGGCATCCAAAGCTCAGCTTCATCCTGCTTGATATTACAAAAGACTAATTTTAAGTCCTAGGACTCAAAATAAACATCATTTTTTTGAATAATAGATATATACATCAAAAATACATCTAAAAATGCATTGGTTAGTGCTATTAAAAAGCTATGTGCTCGGGTACATTTGTTTTCTTACAGGCAAAACCCAGTGGAAACGTTTTGGTTCAATTCTAGGAATTTGCTCTTGGGGAACGTCAGCCAAAGTTACCTGAAAGGAAAACAGAAAACCAGTCAGTCAATGGTTTCGCAGGTGCGGTCAGCAAAACTTAGGATAGTAATTAGAGGCTAAATTTCACTGAGCACCACATTTTTAAAGCCTCGATTAGCATTTAGTTGTAACGTGTTGTACATAAAAAGTGCTCAACACATCCCCTCATCTTTCAGGCTCAAAGAAATGTCACTTCCTCAGGGAGGCCTGTGACCCTCACATGGCGTTAGGCCCCCGCCATCAGCTCTCACAGGACCTTTGTTTTTCCTCTGACAGCACATAACACGCTGGTAATCGCATCGTTATGTGAGCGTTCATGTAAGATGACTGCACTGTAGGCTCTGTGAGCATAGGAGCTGTACGGCTGCGTCCCTCACTGTGTCCCCAGGACCTGGCACTGAACAAGGGTGACCGCAGGACGAGGTGCACATCCCCAGACTGAAGGGTTCAAAGCCAATTTCAGGGCCACAACTCTGGGACTCACTCTACTCGTTCCCTCCCTCCCGCCCCTCTCTTTCTCCCCCTCCTCAGTGTTGGCTTCAAAGGACACAAATCAATAATCAGCTATGAGTGGTGGAAAGTAAGCCAAGGCCTGCGGAATGAAGCAGGAGAGACATTGGGGAAGCAAGCAGAGAAGCACGCTGAGACCTGACTGTAATCATTTAAAGAGAACATATACCCAATGGAACAAAGTCCATGAAACTGCTATGTGAGATGAGGATAGGATCAAAATCTGTACTTTTAAAGGGAAGTTATTTATAATTTGAAATGTCCTCGTTCTCCCTGCATCGAATCTATGCTAAACAAAATCTAGAAAAAGGGCGGGATTTTGCCTACTTTGCAGCCATAATTTTAAAGGGGAGACAGTGACCCCAGAAAGCTATGTGCGGCGATGACAGCCACCTCCACCTCCTGTGGCCATGTCTCCCTCCCTGGCAGAGTCTCTAAGGGACTGTGCAGGCTTCTCCCTTCATTAATGAAGGAGGCGAGGTCCCTGGCCAGCGCTGCAGGGCTGTGCCTGCCCCACACAATGAGAACGAAAGGCTGCGAGTACTGAAGTGGTCCTTAACCCCAGGGAGGGGCCCACAAGAGCACAACCCAGGCGAAGGTGGAGCCTTTTCATTCCCGTGAGGCAGGTGACGGAAGGAAAGCAAGAGAACATCTCAAGGCCAAGCCTCCCTCTCTCAGGTGTGAGTCCACCTGCCCACATTCTTACGCTTCATCTCCACTGTCCATTTCAATGTCCATCTCTTCTGTGTCAGCAGCTCGGGACAAGATGTCGGCCATCAGGGCTTCCTCCAATTTCTTCCGCACTTGTTGTACTCGCTCTTCCTGTTTCCTTTCGAACAACAGAATCAGAAGGCATGTGTCAGTGGGCAAGCAATGGGAATAGGGAGCTGCTATCATGAATGTTCCTGGGAAAAACACTGCAAACGTTGCTTCTATAGTCACAAAATCACACCGCCCGGGCGGTGAGCCGGTAGCCCTCACCTCACAGAGAACTCTGGGAGGAGTGGATCTGTTTCAGTGGCCTTTTCTTCCACTTCCAGAATTTCAACTACGTGAAGATTTGGGGTTATTCCTATGAAGCGTAATTAGAAATATCTTGGGAGCAGGGACAGAATAGGAAGCAACATGGAAAATACAAAAGAAAAAGAGACTTGTTTGATGAAGCGCTGAGAAAGTGGAAGGGC